AAAAAAAAAAAAAAAAAAAAAAAAAAGCGGAGAAAATATTTTACGAATAGAAAAAAAAAAAACAAAATATAAATTTCCCTATTATTCCAAAGAGGGTGGGAAATAATAAAAAAAGAAAAGAAAAACAATTGGATAATTCAACGAATACACTCGTAGAAAAAAATTTCTCTCATTTTATCGCAATGCAATGTGAGATAAAATATTCATCAAGGAAGAAGAAGATGATGATGATTATGATGATTATGATGATGATGGTACAAATCTTGTTTTCATTATTTTTTATTCGGTTAAAGTTAAGCATCCTTTTGCGGTTGGTTGAATCGTTTTAATCAAGTAATAAATATTATTTTCGTAATGGAAATCGATTTTTCGTTTAAACGATTACATTTTATAATATTCCTCTCGTGTCCGGCAGCTCTTATCGTTTATTTGACTCCTCGATTAGCGCAAATTCACGAACGAGGAACTGTTCTTATACACACACACACACACACACATATAAATACACATACGTTGTCTACCTGTTCGGTACTGGTAATGCCACCTTTATCTCGCGTAAGATAAAACAAGGAGAAGATGAAAGAGAAAGAAAAAGAAAGAAACGGAAGAAGAAGAAGAAGAAGAAGAAAAAGAAAAATGAAGAAAAGAAAAAAATGAGACAGACAAATAGGGGAAAGTACAAACAGTTAAGCTATTTTTCAAGATCTTTAACTCTATACTCGAAGATATTTATTAACGAATAATTTTTGTATGCTTCTCTCCTTGTATCATTTTTAAACAAATATTCGTCGAAGCGCGTTTTATATTAATTAACAATTCAATTTAAAATACGATTATTGAACCGTGTTATCTCGCGAATTTCACTCGAATTTTATATTGTATATTATAATATTATATCGTGAGTTTCGCGTGACGATTAAATTGATTTCCAAAAATTTGACATATTTTTTTTTTTTTTTTTATTAAACGATTATGTATATATAAACGTACGTAGGTTGATATTTTCCTTTTCACGAAATATTTCAACGTTGGTCGATTAAATTTAAAATCATATTTCTTTACCATAACGAGTAATAATATATTTTGTTATGTAATATAAAAATTATAAGAATAAAATACGTAAAATGGGGGGGGGGGTTGAATAGAGTTTATTATAGCTTCAATAATAACAATTATTATAACAAGAAAAAATATGTTAGTATAATAATTTAATATCTCAAACGACACGTGAGTGTACTTTCATAATAAATCAGATAATAATTGTCGATAAAATATTCTCAAAAAAAAAAAAACAAAATAATAAGTTTGTTTCGTTTGAATTTTCATTGAAACTCTCGTGGTATTGGATGTATTAACGAACCTGTCACGTATTTGAATTTTTATTTAGCGTATACTCGTACAGTATCGATAATTGAATGTCGATTTGGATAGATTGAAAGATCGAACGTGAAACAATATAAAGTTTTAAGAATAACGATTAAAGTATACGTGAATATACTACATATATAATACATGTATATACATAAATGAGTTTCTATTGTACGTATACACATATGCACAAAACTAATCGTGAATTTCTCGAACAGAACTGTTCGATTATCGTCTTGGATTAAAAAAATCAACTGCTAACTGAGAGAGGAAGTAATAAGAGAGAGAGAAGTTAAATAACCAATAGAGAAGCAATAATATCCTTTTGCAATGGAGACGGCGTCCCGGTGCTTTAGAAAGTACGTGAAAGTGGTGTAAGACTACGAATTCCGCTACGAATAATTTTCACTTTATCGATTGTGTTCTTTAAAAGCTTAGAAGAAAGGAGCTTAACGTTGTTTTGTATATATATATATAATATAATGAACCAATTTCAATACTTGCAGATAGGGATGTATGAAAGTAAGTTCAGAATAAAGAAATAAAAAAGAAATTTCTGTTCATTATATATATATTTATATTTGTTTTTTTAATATTTATATAATATTTATAGAAACAAAATATGTATGTACATACTCAATTGTGTTTTTAAATGAATTTGTTATTTCTAATAGGATTTTGATTTAACACGAAGAATATTTTGAAAATACGTGGTTCTTTGTATTATTATTTTTATTGATTTCTTAGGATAAGTTCAGAATAAAGAAATTAAAAAGTAA